GCCAGGAGTAGCGAGAAGCAGGCCCTGATGTCTGAGTTGAAGATCATGAGCCACCTGGGGCCTCACCTAAACATTGTCAACTTGCTTGGAGCCTGCACCAAAGGAGGTACCTGTCCCCCTCCCCTGGACATGATCCCCCTTCATCACAGCTGGGACCTGTCCCCTCCCCCTACTGCCCCAAACATTAGCATCCTGCTTAGAGGTCACCACCCTTAGCATGGTCGCCAGGCTAAGCTTAGGCGGCCCATCTGTGCACATGGGCCTGCTGCCTGAATGGGAGAAAACTCTGCACGCGTTGCCAGACTCCACTCCTCCCTGCTGCGTGTCCATCCCCCTCCAGCAGCAGGCATAAGAAAATGGTCTCCATCCAATCTCCTTCCAGCAGCATGACCCGTGAGAGGGGCCGATGCTTTGTGGAGAGCCCAGGTAGCCGATGGTGCTCCAAACTCGAAGGCCAGTGGTCCTGCCTGTTCTCCACTCATCTGAGTGTCCCAAACGCCCAGCAAAGCAAAGGGCCTCCCTCCCTGGGGCTCCCTGAGTCCCCTTACAAGCGGTTGGGAGAACGTGCAGTGACCTCTTTGCGAAGGGGTTGGCAGTAGAGCTGGTCAGGAATTTCACTGGAAAATGCCGATTTGTCAAACTGAACCTGTTCTCAGGAAGAAGTCGGTTCGGACAAATTTTTCAACTAAAAAAAAAAATGCTGAAAAGAAAAGTGTAGAAATTGTCGATGTTTTCACAATGAAAGATGCCAATTTTCTGTCTCAAAGCGGTTTGTTGTTTTGAAATTTAAGCTAAGCGTAGTCAATAAAATTGTCAATAAAAAATGGTCAAAACTGAAATGAAATGTTTCAGTTGACCCAGAACCAAACATTTTGAGGGGGTTTTCAGTTCATGACAGTTTTCAACATTTCAACTTTACGTCCTAATTCGGGACAGGAAAATTTTTCGTTCTCTTGAAAATGTTCACAAGACAGGAAGCGCATTTCCCACCCAGCTATAGATCGGAGAATCTATGAATCACCCAGCTATGGTTAGTAATAAAAGAACAGTCCTGGCCTTGGGCCAGCAAAGCTGCCCCAAGCCCACACCTGACTCAAGCGTTCTCCTTTCCTACAGGCCCCATCTATATCATAACAGAGTATTGCCGCTATGGAGACCTGGTGGACTATCTGCTCCGGAACAAGCACACCTTCCTCCAGTACTACACCGAGAAAGCAAGGCGAGAGATGGAGGTGTATGGGAATGCCTCCGAAGAGGACAAGGTGTACAGGTGCCTTTAAAGTAATAGCCTTCTCAGGAGCAGCAGAAGGTCTATAAAAGTAGGGGGCCAACGGCGCTCAAGACTATGGCCCCACCCTCCATGTCTCCCCTTCTCCCTGAGGCCCCACCCCCATGCCACTCCTTCCCCCAAGGCCCCGCCCCTTCTCCCTGAGGCCCCACCCCCATGCCACCCCTTCCCCCAAGGCCCCACCCCTTCTCCCTGAGCCCCCACCCTTGCACTTTGACTTCCCCCAAGGCCCTGCCTTTGCACCGCCCCTTCCCCCCAAGACCCACCCCCTGCTCACTTCTCTCTAGTCCCTCCTCCCATGTTGCTCAGCCTTACCGGTAAAATGTGGGAGGGCTATCCCCTCCCGCTTTTAAAAGTGAGGGGGCCGCGGCCCACCCTGTTCTGGCGCTCCTGCCTTCTATTTCCTTTATGCATGCAGCCATCCCAGCCAGCCACAGCGGGGTCCTGTCCTTTCTGGGGCACTAAACCCTAAAGATTATGTTCTCTTGTTCACAGTGGGGAAGACTAGTGACTTACGGGTAGGCTAACCTATGAACCAGATCTGCAGTACATTGATTTCAATGGAAGTTAGGAACCTAAATACCTTTGCGGATCTGGATTCCCACCCTGGAATTTTCTGCTTCTAATTCTTCATTTGCAGAACAGGCCCTGTTGTGCTCAGTGCCGAAGTGGGCAGATTTAGCGCAGCTTTGTGACAGCTTTTCTTCCCCGGTTGAAAAAGAGGAAAATGGTCCTGTTACTGTCCGGCTGCCGTAAGAGGCGTGGGAATCTCTCTGCGGGTTGACTGAGATGCATCGCAGATGGACGTTACAAAGCAGGGTTTTGTCCCAGCGCACAGAAGCAATAGTGAAATGAGACAGGCGCTCAGTACATGGATGGAAACTCTTGCAGTTTCCATTTCAAGTCAGAGGCGACAATAATAAATGTTGAACAAAAGAACGTTCATCTGGGCTCAGTCTTCAAATTAAGGCCTTGAAAATGCTAGCTGCAATTTTGTGCATGCAGCAGCTTTTCACAGGGGAGTTTTGGCAGGTGCAAAACCTTGGATTTCTGCATGCCAGTTGCATTTGTGCTCGCTAAATGGATGAGGGTTGACAGACGTCCGGTTTTCGACTGGAACCCCCGGTCGAAAAGGGACCCTGGCGGCTCTGGTCGGCACCGCTTACCAAGCCGTTAAAAGTCCGGTCGGCAGCGCAGTGGGGGCCCAGGGCTAAGGCAGGCTCCCTGCCTGCCCTAGGTCTGCGTGGCTCCCGGAAGCTCCCAGAAGCGGCCGCCAGGTCCCTGCGGCCCCTAGGTACTGGGGTGGCCATGGCCTGGGAGGCTCCGCACTCTGCCCCCGCCCAGAGTGCCCGCTCCACAGCTCCCATTGGCTGAGAACTGCAACCAATAGGAGCTGTGGGGACGGTGCCTGCAGAGCCTCCCTGGCCATTCATGTGTCTAGGGGCCACAGGGACCTGGGGGCCGCTTCCTGGGAGCCACGGTAAGTGCCACCGAGACCCCGCACCCCCTCCTGCACCCCAAACCCCTCATCCCCGACCCCATCCCAGCGCCCACCCCTCAAGGCAGAGCCCAAACCCCCGGAACACCCCAGCCCCGTCCTGCACCCCAAACCCCTTATCCCTGGCCCCACCCCACAGCCTGCACCCCCAGCTGGAGTCCTCACCCCCACACACACAG